AACCGACCTACCCGAATGTGAGGACTCCTCCATGGGTCGATCAACATCCTATGAAACAGGTTGGGGATCATCAGAAGCCCATCTTGCCTCGGCCCACTATGCCCTTCAAACGTCTCTCATGGGCTGAGATGCATGCCCAGTGCGAGAAAGGCCTTTGTTATAACTATGATGATAAGTTTGGATCGGGGCATAAATGCCGGGTCCAGCGGGTGTTTCTCCTACAGACAGAGGAAGAGCCGGGAGAGACAGAACTAGAGCACTTAAATGACTGTGAACCGATTCCAGACGGACCTGAACCTGACGGGGTCGAGATCTCCTTACACACCCTTATGGGCCTCAACTCTCTTCAGTCCATGCGAATAGAACGAAGATTGGTTGGCCGGACCGTGATGATTTTGATTGACAGTGGCTCTACCCTGAATTCCATCACTTGCCGTTTGGCAAGGCAACTAGGTATGACTATACAACCCACTCCTCTCTTTTCGATCCATGTGGCTAATGGGAGTCAGATGTCATGTAAATGTAATGGTGTATGTGAGAAGGAAAATGTGAGGCCATATAGATACCCTTACTTCCAGAAGCTGGAAATTGAGAAGGTAGTGAGAGAACTATTGGCAAAAGGGCATATATAGACCAACACCAGCCCTTTTTCATTCCCTGTACTCCTAGTGAAGAAGAAGGATGGTAGTTGGCGCTTTTGCGTAGATTACCGGGCCTTGAATCAGATTACAGTGAAGGACATGTTTCCTATACCCCTCATTGATGAACTACTGGACGAGTTAGGAGAGGCACGAGTGTTCTCCAAATTAGACCCGCGGTCTAGGTATCATCAGATTCGGGTCCACCAGGCTGACATCCACAGATTCGGGTCCAGGTATCATCAGATTCGGGTCCACACGATGGCCATTATGAGTTATTGGTTATGCCTTTTGGACTCACCAACGCCCCCTCCACCTTTCAGGTCCTCATGAATGACATCTTCAGGCCATTCCTAAGGCGATTTATTCTGGTGTTTTTTGATGATATTCTGGTATACAGAAGGGATTGGGACACATATATGGAACATTTGAAACTCACCCTCACAACTCTAAGGGGGCACCAGTTACATGCCAAAATGACAAAGTGTTCCTTTGGACAAGGACAAATTCAATACTTAGGCCATGTGGTTGTAGTAGGGCGGGTCATGGTAGACCCAGAAAATGTAGACACATCCAGAAGTGGCCCAAGCCCACTACTGTAAAGGCTCTACGGGGCTTTCTTGGGCTTACCGGATATTATAGGCACTTTATTAAGGGGTATGGACTTATGGCCACCCCTCTAACGCATCTATTAAAGAAGAATTCCTTCGGTTGGGTTGATAATGCACAACGGGCTTTTGAAGACTTTAAGATAGTAGTTTCTAGCCCTCTAGTCCTCACTCTTCCAGACTTCTCTCAGCCCTTTGAAATAGAATGTGATGCATCGGGTGTAGGAGTAGGGGCCGTCTTGATGCAGAAAGGGCAGCCCATTGCTTATTTCAGCAAGGCTCTCTCAGCAGCTCACCAAAGTCAGTCCACTTATGCAGAAAGGGCAGCCCATTGCTTATTTCATCACGGGTCTTCCTTGTTCTACATGGAAGGAGGTTATCATGGTAGTGGTTGATCATCTCACCAAGTACAACCATTTCTCTGCATTACCTCACCCTTACACCGCAACAATGGTGGCTGACATCTTCATACGGGGCGTCGCTAAGCTGCATGGAACCCCAAGATCCATTGTCTCAGATCGGGACCCTGCCTTCCTGAGTTCATTCTGGAAGGAATATTTTCGGTTGCAAGGAACCCAACTACACCCCTCCACGAGTTATCACCCGCAGACTGATGGACAGACTGGAGTTCTTAATCGATGTTTGGAAGGCTACCTTAGGTGCTTCACAGTGGAGAAGCCTCGACAGTGGGCTCATTGGCTTCTGTGGGCAGAATACTGGTACAATTCGACTTATCAGTCGGCTGCTGGAATGACACCCTTCAAAGTTCTATATGGCAGAGAATCCCCTCCCATATTACCTTATGAATATGGGTCATCCAAGGTGGCAGAAGTAGAGACCTGTCTACTTGCGAAGACGAGATTCTTAGATTGCTTAAGTCTAACTTGACAAAAGCCCAACAACGAATGAAGGCCCGCTATGACTCTCACCACCGCCCACTAGAATTTCAGGTGGGTGACTTGTTTTACCTTAAGCTCCAACCTTACCGCCAGATCTCGGTAGTAAGACGGGCTTGGCACAAGCTAGCACCCAGGTATTATGGGCCTTATAAGGTTCTGGAGAGAGTGGGCCTTGTTGCTTACCGGTTGGACCTCCCTGTAATTTCAAAGCTTCATCCGGTGTTTCACATCTCACTTCTTAAGAAGGCGGTGGGAAATCATACTCCTGTCTCATCCAACTTGCCCCAATTCACTGAAGAAGGGGACATTGACATGGAGCCTATCAGAAAATTGGATTTCCGTTGGGTTCGACGAGGTGGTCAGGTTGTGCCAGAAGCCAAGGTAGAATGGGCTAGGCTTCCTCCAGATGATGCCACTTGGGAACCTTATCTAAGGCTGAACGAGAGGTTTCCAAACCTAGACCTTGAGGGCAAGGTCAATGCTAAGGGGGGAGAAATTGTTGGAACCCAAATACTCCCTCCGAACCCAACTATGGGAGTGGAGCAGGCCACCACCAATCAGCATTTCACTAGAAGACAGAAAGGGTAGTGTGACACGCGGTAGAGCCCTTAGAGTTAGTTACAATCAGAGCCTTCCAGAGTTAGTTACACTGCCACCAGAAGATATTCTCTCCATGATTGCACACATGTAGGCCAGCTATATAAGGCCCTGATCATGTAATAAGCAGTGTGAATGAATATCTCTTTTATCTCTCTCTCTCTCTCTCTCTCTCTGAGTCATTTTCTTCCTACCCTTCTCTCTCTTCTCTCCTTCATCTTCTGTTTCAAGAGGTTAAGCCACCCTCGAAGGGGCTTCCGAGGTGAGCGGTAACTCATCAGTCTCCCCTAGCTCTTTTAGCCCCTTCAACTTGTAACATATCACTTTTTCTAAACGGTACTGCAGATTTTATGAACATGACAAAACCATCTCAATCTACTTTCTCTCATTTTATCACCTATTGGAGCTACTCCTAGGTTTCTTCATATAACTTAATTTCTAACCTTTTCCTTTCTTGTTTTACCCATGATTTAAAGTGTCCCTAATTTCCCTAATATTTGTTTCCATTTCCATGGGTAGTGACATGAAATTTTATTGGAATTGACATATTCCCCAATGAACACTACTAGCACTATGTGGAGTACAAGAGATAGTTTCCACGACATATTTCCATTTCCACTTCCATGGGCAGCAACATGAAATTTTACTAGAATCGACATATCCCAAGTGAACACTACCAACACACTATGTGGAATACAAGAGATAGTATTATGACATAAGTTGGTGACAATATTGTAGATATGTGGAGTAACAATGTTATTGCCCGCCTAACTTAAATGATTTCCACTTTGAGCTAACTCAATATTTCATTTCAAACATGAAGCTAAATATTAGTTTGTGTTTGTGTAATAGATCATTTGGTTGATCTATTACTACCATTTACATTTTCTATGAGTGTAATTTTGCTTTAACTCATTCTATCATGAAGCTCCAAATCTTAAGGTTTACAGTGCAACATCAGAACATATTCTTTTGTCTATAGCCTTAGTTTCTTAGCTTTATTTAGTGATTTTAAACAAGATAATAATTTAAAAATGTGTGCCTGTGCTTCTCTTATCATTTCATAAGATATGATTCTATATTTTGCATAGTTTACAATGTTTCCACCATGTCTATAATTTTTACAATATTTCCAACATTTCCGATATGTTTCTTATATTTGGATGACCGACAGTTCCACCAACACCGATCCATCTAAGCATTTGCAATGTACACTCTGTTCCATACAACATGGCTGCCCTTGTTACTATTTTATAGAAATTTTCTTTTATTTGAAGAGGTATTTATCTATTACACAAGACTCTAGACACACCCCTCAATTTTGCCCATCCTGCTCTATTCTATGGGCAACACCCTCCTCATTCTGTCCTTTTTATGAATTATTGAACCAAGGTAACGGAAGAAGTCACATTGAGTTATCTCTTGGTCCCCAATCCTAAGTGTGCCCTGGTTTGCTCTCCTACAGTCCTACTATTATTAGATTTACATTGCATGCATTCTATTTTAGTCCTTATTTTAAAACCTCTTGTTTTTAATACAGTTGTCTATAAACCTAATTTTTCATTTAATCCTTCACTAGTTTCATCGAATAATACCATGTCATCAGCAAACATCATGCACCATAGAACCCCCTCTTGAATATGTAATTATGTAAAATTAAAATGTATTCAATCTTCTTACATTAAAAGGGCAAACTATCTTCCACTTTACTATTTATCATTTAGCAATATCCATCTGGATCTGATTTCACAAAGCATCCTACCAAACAAGACAGATCTAGGCATTGTGATATATATCTGGTTGACAAAACTGTCACCCTTTGGCTACTCATTGCTAATATGGAAATCAATCTGGTTATATTGTTTGTCAGCCAACTTCCTTCTCCATGCTGGATAGCTGAGGTGAAACAGGAGAGTGCCACCAGTGTTCAAAGAAGGGCATGAAACAGTTGTCCCTAATGTGTACTGGCTAGACAATTCTACTATGACCTTTGATAAAAAAAATTTCCACCATGACCTCCATTCTGTTTAGGAGAAGTAATCCTACCCCAATCAGCATTTCACTAAAAGAGAGGGTTTAAACTAAGGAAATTTTCTTTCATCTGTCATTATTGAACGCAACAATTAATAATAAATTTAGTTATACCTTTTGACGTTATGTTCTTATTGGACCACAAATTGGGATTCTCAAATGGCCCTGATATAAACAATGCAAATCTCATTTCTTATTAGGAAAACACACTATATATTTGATTCCAGGCTTCTGAAGATGCTAGAAAATTGGTTGATGAGGAAAGGTCTTTTGCACGTGCTGAGATTGAGAATGCTAGAGCAGCAGTGCAGAGAGTTGAAGAAGCTCTGAAGGAACAAGAACGAATTGCCCAAACTTCTGGAAAGCAGGTTTGCTATCGTCTTTTCTGCCATACAAATATAGTAATATACAATAGAAGTTTCTAAAAGCTTACCTTTTCTTCTGTTTCCTTTGAAGATTCAAGTTTGCCATTTCTTATTTCAGTTACTCTTTTCTTTCTGGATTTGTTCCAAATATATGAATCTTTCACACTTTGTCGCATTGCTATTTGAGAACTTTTTTCCTGGCTGTAGGATTAGTGGATTACAATTGCACTATATTTTGGTTACGAATTCTCTTTCAAGGATAGGGCTGCCAATAGGTTGGGCAAACCTGACAGACCTGAACTGAACAGACCCAATTATATAGGGTCTGGGTCTGCATTATCTGTCCGATCTATAATTGGGTTGGGATCAGTTTTGGTTGTTCCAAACCGATAAAGCCCTGAACCAACTATATAATATAATTGTGTGTGTGTGTGTGTGTCTATATATATAATTATGTTTATGTATGTCATCATTGTTAAGATGTCCAAAATGTGTCAACTTAACAATAATTAAGTTTATGTTCATATTACAGTTGAAGTTATAGATGTCTACCTGTCAAATTGGGTCTTATTGGGTCAGACCTGATTGCTCTGATTACACAGCCTGGTTTGGAACTTCTACATATTTACTTATTGGGTCAAGACTGTGTACCCTAACCTGGACCAGGTCTGTCCAGTTGACAGCACTATTCAAGGGTGTGTTGATTTGCAAACAAGCATTGTGCTTCAATGCAATGAAATGGTTTTTTTTTTTTTTTATGTATAAAGATTATTATTCTATTATATGAGGACTTGATCTAACATAACTTTTTGTGAACCAGGAACGATACTATTACAAGGGCAACATAATTTGAACAATATTGTAACTTTCAAGTTTGTATTTAATAATCTTAATTTATTCTGAAACTGATAAAAAAAATCTTAATTTATTCTGTAGTTGACATCTCAGTAAAGAAGTATCTCAACAGAAAAATGTAACATGGAAGATTTATCATGCTGTGATACGTGAAATTCTAGTGAGAAACTACATATCAAATTGTGGGAAGTGTTCACAAAGGAGATCAAGCACATGAAAAGAACTACTAAAGGTTTAAAGCAGAAATGTAAGAGAAATGTGGGCCAACATACTTGGCTAGACTGAGTCGGAGAGGTCTTTTTTTTGTGTTTCTCTAGTCATAGTCATAAACCTATGACTGGCCTATATACATGCAAACTATCTAAACTTTTTACTCATCAAACCTATTTAAGACAATTAGTCAAATCTTAATTGAATAAAACAAAACTAAATCAAAACTTAAAATGCCAACCTATTTAGCTCTTTGTGAGACCTACTCCAATTCATGTCTAATTCATTAATTAAAATGCCAACCTATTTCATGTTGGTGCTCATGACATGGAAATATGCCAACATTTTAAAAAATGTTCAGATTCAATGCTTGATTCAGACTTGATTAGCTTTTTGGATTCCCTAATCAGCCTTGGAAACTGTGCTAAAAGTCATTTTCCGCATTTTATTCAGCCTTACAATGTAGGAGGTAGTACTCTTCTTTATCTTCCTTATGATAAAGATTAATCCCGGTTTTACAGTTCATAATTCATCTGGTATTAATTAACCAAATACCTATTGCCATGCATCCATTGTTTTTACATATTCGTTCTTTTCTCCTGGGTTTTTGGGTTCTTCCCCTTTAGCCATTATTTTTTTGATCTCCTGAGTCATAATCATGCTGTTTTTGTATCAAGATGCATAATTAATCCCTGTTTAGGTCCTATTTGGGAGGATGAAGTGAAGCTGTTTCCAATACTACCAATCTTCTGCCTAGTAGACATAGAATAACCTATAGCTAGTATAATGTTGGGTTGGAGTCCCTTCACCCGAGTGAAGTTTGGGATTTGAAAAATGGTGACAATGAACCTAGGAAAGCCTTACAAAGTTGTCTCAGTTTTTTCCTAATTAGCATGCTGTATGCATGTTATTTTGGTATGTTTAGGTACTTGGTTACATTGCTACTAGATTAGAACTTGTGAGGATTATTTTTCCGAGTGGGAGGATGGTAAGGTATATGTAAAATGTCCATTTGATGAAGAACCTTCTGGATTATCACACTATTTGTCCTTTCTGACATCTATTTGATGAATGATGATGAACTTCTAGATTAAGTTTTTTATGTATTATACTCCTTACATATGAATAATAAACAAGGTATCAAATGAGGAGTCAGAAAAGCTAGTGTTGACTCTGCCATGCTGTAGTAGGCCTTTGACCTATATCTTGGCACATAGAGTGAGTGTGATGTGAAGAACTACATGGACCTATTTAGTCTTCTCCTTGAACTGCCATTATGTGTTTGCGATTCATAATAATATTCCATTGTGTGATATAACTTGATTTTTGATAGAAGAGAAGTTAAATCTAATGTTCTTGATCAATTGCTTCATATTGTGAACGAGGAAAAACATGTAAAAACTTTTAGGTTTGTTTGGAGATAGACTGCTTAATAGTTTTTATAGCTAAGGGAAATTAAGAAAGTGTGTAAATTTCTTCATCTAATTCTGTGTTGTCACAAGTATTCGGATCCTCTTAATCTCCCCAATTAGCATTTTCTGCTGATTATTTAACAATATAATAGTTTACAAGTTATCTAGCTGATAAAAGAAACTTACAAGTTATCTTCTTTTTTTTTTTTTCTTTTCTTTTATGCTTGTCATTTTGTATTTCATGGTTGAAATTGTTAGGAAATGGAAGATTTAAGGAAGGAGGTTCAAGAGGCTAGAAGAATTAAGATGCTACATCAACCAAGCAAGGTATACTGTATAAGTTTAACCATATGGATTTTTATTGTAATCTACTCAATCGTTTATGCATATTTCCTTTATAAGGTAGTTTTGGGCAGAAGTTTTCTGGTCTTTTGTTTCTATTTGGACAGGAATATCAAGTTTTTTGTTGTACGTGACCAAGGATATACTGGTCATTTCCATTATCTTTTGAACTGTCTGAATGTAGCCCACCTTATACTTTTCCTCTTCAAGCTGTGCTCTTTCTTATACCTTTCCTCTTCAAGCTGTGCTCTTTCTTATACCTTTTCCTCTCCAAATTGTGTTCTTTCTTTTCCTACTTCTCTTCCATCTTCTTTCTTTCTCTTGTCTTCTAAATCAATCGATCTATAAACAAATTCTACAAGGAGATTAGGGAATAAATAAATTGGTTTCAGAGAAACAAGGTCTTTGTCTTGTTGGATGATCTTCCATGCAAAATTCATACAGTTTTTAAGATCAGCAAACTACATGGAGTGTTGAAAGCGCCAATTAATCTTTCTTTTATTGTCTGGATTATAGAACCCAAATGAAATGTAGAAGTGAAAAACATGTGAGATGATTTTCATAATCGACCAACCCATCCAAGTGTGGCCTGAGTTGTGTTTGCTTTAGATCAGGCTGGGCCTGGGTTGGTAGGCTCAGGCTTTGACCTTGATTTGAGTTGGCCATGAGCCCGGGGTCCTTATATTAGGGTTGGGCTTAAACTTAGCCTACCTGCCCAAGTTATATGCTTGTATGCTTGTATCCCTAAGAGAGGATCCCTTGTAAATGTAGATGTCCTGGATGCCTCTTTTTAAATATCAGGTCATTGTATTTGTACCTTCTCTATACTTTCTTTTCTGATAATTGACACAATTTCATGTTACCAATAAAAAAAGGTGCTTTTTTTCCATTCTGAATGCTGCCATTATCAAATTTTATGTTACTATCTTGTTTTTCCCTTGATAGTTTATTATATTGTGATACATATATAGGTAATGGACATGGAACATGAACTTCGAGCATTACGAACTCAGCTTGCAGAGAAGTCTATGCACTCTCTTCAGCTTCAGAAAGAGGTCAGTTCTCTGTTAAGTAGCTCTTCTCTATTAATTGTAATATATGGCTTATATATGAAATTCTTTATGATTCTTTCTAGTTTCCCATTCTATGGTTGAACATCTCTAGCAGTTAGCAGTTATTTTGTTTTCATGGCAGTTCCACTTGTCACATACAGCTCATATTTTTGGCTTCTTACCCATTTTTTAATTGGTCTTGAACCATTTGGATGGAAGAAAGTGAACACCAGTTTCTCTAGTTGTATGGTTTTCATCACCATTTTTCTTGTTTTCACAACTTTTTGAAATTTGTTTGGTTATATATTGCTTTCTTTGTAGTTTATTTTTATGACCCAAGTAGATGTGATCGGATAGATTTTTTTTTTTTTATCAATACCTAGATAGCTATGTTTCCCATTCTAAATTTCTAATATTTAAAAATTTGGAAAGTCTACTGAAGGAATTACCCATACTGTGTTCAACTGTTTTCTGCATGGTTCTGTTCAGTTCTTCCTCTTCTATGTTCTTGTTCCAAAGTGGTGTCTATTATTGAATGTTATGGTGATTTTGTTTATTCATACTTCTGGGCGAATCATACTTGATTATACCAGTTGATAAAGCATTGTTGTTTTTTTTTTTTTTGTATGTTGGGTGATAATTCCTAGACAGCCTCAATGGTTCTGTACTATGACATGAGCAAAATTTAAGGAGCAAACTAGTATCTTATTTGTGAATTTTTGCCATTGAATATGTGCTGCAATGTTGTAAGACTTGGACTGTTCAACCATTGGGTTGGCCTGGTGACTTGTGACACACACACATATACATACATACATACATACATACATACATACATATATATATATATATAGGGTGGGCCTTGGTGCAATGGCTAATGGCTGGGTTGCTTCATTGGTAGGAGCCTCGTGCACTGGGCTGCCCTTTTTATATAATATATCATAATACTATAACATGTGTATTGTTTGTGGTTTGATGGTCATTTTTCTGATCTTCATTCAAATGATTAGTCTTGTGAACCATGTTTTTGTAAAAAGTGCACACGCACATATGGTCAAGTCAATATAGGCATTTTCATTTCAGTAAAATTCAACATAGGCATTAAAGAAACACAAAAGGTTTTGTGGCTTAATGTTAATATGCGGTTCTTTGTAATCATCATCATTTTACACTATATAGTGATTTGGGTGGGTCATTGAAAATCAGCTGGGTAACTAAAACCCAACTAGTTTTCAATGGTTTTCCTGGGTTAGTAGCTTGGCAGATGGTTTTTGGGGAAAAACTAAAAATTAGGATTTAAATTTTAAAGGGCCATTTACTAAAACACCCCTATACTTTGCAATGAATTTACTTGATCGACCTTCCATTAGATGAAAGTGGGAAATGACAGTTTTGCCACTAACATCCATTCAAATAAATTTAATCAAAAGAAACTAAAAACAAAAATGCCATTTTTCCCCCTAGTAAAACATGGACAACCACTATTTTTCTCTAATTGATCAATTTTGTTTTCTATACAAAAAAGTGTTAGGGGTACTTTTGGAATAAACAAACATGGATCCATACCCTTGAACATTTTCCACTCGGTTTAAGGGTACTTTTGGAATAAACAACCATAGGTTCATACCCTTAGGCATTTTCCACTTAGTTTAGGTGATCATGTTACTATTTTCATTTGGCAAACAAATAGTTCTTAATGAAGGTCGATTAAGTAAATATGTTGTAAATTATAAGGGGTGTTTTAGTAAAATACAGACTATAGGGTAGGTTTTAGTAAATTGTGAAACTATAGGGGTGTTTTAGTAAATGACCCAATTTTAAAATACTGGATTTCCCTCTGGTTCCTGAGTCTGATGGTCTGACCATCTGGTTTGGTCTGTGTTTTACAACATTGATTGGCTGACATATGATTGAACTTGCACTCTCTTTTGTTTGTCTTGTGAGGTATGAAATGGAAATCCAAGAGCAGTTGTTTTTGTGTGTTAATTTCTTGTACTATACTTTTGTCCTTTTACTCTTTCAGCTGGCAATGATCAAGAAGCTTCAGGAAAACAAATCCCGGTTGTATGTGATAGATGGTTCTGAAACCTTAGGTTCATATTTACGGATCACCTCTTGTGTGGATAAAGCTCCAGATATTTTGAAATGTTCTATCCAGTGGTACCGTGTATTGCCTGATGGTGGAAAGAAGGAACTAATTTCTGGTAATTACTTGCTTAACTACTTTTTATTGATTCTTTAATGTGTTTTGTTTCAGTGTTTTTTTCTTATATGCACTGATTTCATTATTTTTAGCCTGGATTGCAAACTTTACTCAAATGGTTAATGATGTGGCCTCCTAGTATAACTTTGATTCACAAAAGTTGTGTTAGATTTCATGTGTTAGCGATCTATGTTTTATGGATGCTTGGTTTTTTACCAATGTTGAGTGCTACAATTTTTAGTTTGAATTCTGTATCTGCTCTGCATCCACAATGATCCCTGGGTAACTGTATGGGTATTGTATCTTGTTGGATACTTCATTTCTTTTGTGTGTGTAAATTCCTTGTTAGATACCATGCCCAGATGCTTCCTTACCAAACCCAGCTATCCTGAAGAAAAGCATCTGTTGCAAAGCACATATAGCTATTATTTGTTATTTCATGTTACTAGCTGCAATGTAAGAACTTCATGGCTTAAGCCAAACTGCAATTCCATTTGGATTTCTGGGTGATAGTTGAGTTATATATTCAGATGAATATTTTCTCTGATATAATCATTTTTACATGGGGTCGGGAAAAGAACTAGGTATATGTCTAGATGGATACCTTGTAAAAAATTTGCAAAATTTGATTTATTGTGATCTTTAGAGCTGTTTATTTTTATGTATTTGGTAAAATGGTAATTTTGACTTTCCATAAGGCCTCAATATAACTGATAACACTTATTTTTAAGTATGGAACTTTTCATAATCCTTTGTAGCTTCTAGTTTGATATATTTGAGTGGTAAAAATAAATATAGTTGTCCTTATAAAATGAATTATTGCAACTGTAAAAGTTCCTTGAAAATTTGGTTTCTTCAAATCCAATGTGACACACTTTTTAAATAGACTTTGCCCACATGAGGTGGTTATGATAATTTTCGTTCATTCTGCCTTGGATAAAATCTTTCCAAGAATAATGTGGTTGCGCATGAAAGATGCCCCATTTGATGAAATTGCAATAAATAATGGGTCAAGCAATCAACAAAGTTACAAGTCGAGTGAGCCTTATCCTGTTCAAGGATTAAAACTTGATACTAGTTGGCTTATGTAGCCATTATTCCTTGCCTTTCGACGATGCAGAAATGAATGAATATCAGGGATGGACAATTGTTCCAGTATATCTCTTTTTTATCTAGATTTGATGAATGGCACCATTATGATACAACATGATACATGGTGTATTATTATGGATTTTTGATTATAGCATCCAGAAAGAGAAGCAGATTAACCATTAGAAAAAAAGAAAGAGGGATGCCCATTTGAAGGATCTACTTGTTCCTATCTTCCTTTTCTTTATTCTCTTTTATCTCAAGATCCTTCCATTAGAGTCTAATCTCCTTCATGTTAAAGTGAATGCTAGAAATGTTTTGTTTGGGGAAGCAGTGCTGTAGTTTTGCTATGATTTACGAGGTTTCATAAAAATTCAGTCTGATTAGATGACATTTAGCCAATTGACTATGTAAATTCGCTTGCAGTTTTTTTAGAACTTTTTCATGTCAATTTCCTTGCTGGTAACTTTCTATTGGTGCTTCTCATCTTCTGGACATATGACTTGTTAGGCGACCCTTTTCCATGAGGTTTTGGGGTGTTGATGTGGGCGCCAGCAGCAGCAGCAGCAGTAATTTAGTGCAGCAGCAGTAGTAATTTAGTGTTCTCAGCAGCAACAATTTAGTGTTCTCATCCTATCTTATCTATTCAGTATTCTTACCTTATTTGCTTTCAGTAGCAGGGATTAGTAGGAGTCTTATCTATTCAGTTATCTTATCTTATCAGTTCAGTAGGATAGATTAAGGGAGTCTTATCTTATCTAATTACAGTTCTTATCTTA